CTTTGCCGAATAATACCTGAAATGGGAAAACAATCATCACGGCCGTCATGATGTCAACCAAAAGCGAGCAGTTCCTTGTCTGTATGTACAGTACATATATCGAATGTACTTCTAGAGAGGCAACATGGCAAATGTAACATGTATGTATGCACAATGCGGTTTGAGCATGGATGGGCAGACGCGGTTCCCTCCACCAAATCCAGTCATCAAATCGAAAGCAGACTCGAGTCCAAAGGAGAATAGTCGAACACGGGCAATCGTTCATAACATGAGACTTGTGTGACTGGACCATGCACGTTGGTTGTCGAAGTTGGGGCCCGTTCCAGTCCATCTTGAGTATTGTGTGCATCGCGGCGTTCCCCCCACGGCAGAAGAAGCAACATGTGGACTGGTACTCCGTCGTTACCGAGTCCGTCCTCCAGAATGTGTGTCTTCCGTACGTATTCCGTAACAAGGCATGTATGTGCGTATCTCACGTAACTCTGTACTGAGTAATCAGATTTCTCTCTGCGCCTGTAATGCAATGGAAAAGACAGCCTCGTGGCGGCATTCTGATACTCCCAACGGGTGTCGCTTCCCCACAATCCCGTGCAACAGCCCTAGAACACTTCATTACAGCGTTACAGTACCGAAAGCCTGCCTTATTCCGGTCGCTTTACTCCGGGCACACACCCACACCCACACACCCACACCGGCCCATTGGCGATGGCTTACCGCCATGCTGTGAAGTTACAGGGAACCTTTCCTTTTGTCACCACGCCAAAAGTGGGAGTTAAACTCATTGAAGCATGGCCCACCAATCTAAAGTCAGAGGCCAGCCGGATATCCAATCTCTTCGGCCCTTCACCGGTGCCTTGGATATCCTGGGGGATGGTGGAGACGCAAATTTGATGCCCATGGGAGCTGAAGAACCAGGGTATGAACCATGATGGATTCCGGCCGTCTCGCTGGTCGCTACCAAGACACCGATTGGAGATAACAGCTCCTGTTGCGGTCAGGCTGCTCGCAGGTCGACGCTGATAATAAAACACGTTTAAAGCCCAATGGGAGCACCTGACCACTCAGAAAACGGAACAGATGAGTCCATTCTGATATTATTTAATTCCTCTTTCGCTCGCGTGGCCCCCGATCCCTGGCCCAGGTGTCGTCGGTGCTAAAATTATTCTTCCCTTCTTTTTCAGAACCACAGACCATCCCGCCCTGTCACCTTGGATCTTGTCGTTTGAGGTGATTGATACCAATCGGATGTCCTCTGTTTGATTAAAATCGACGGTCTCACGCACCCCCTCTCACTTCTCATTTTCTGCCTCTCCGGCCAAATTCTCACGCACTTCCTCCTCATCCCTCCTCCCCCTGTAGACCCCACTCAAGGCTTGTTTATTGATTCATCTTCGCCCTGCATCTGCCGCTTGCATCTGATCTTTGCATCTTGCCTCCTGTTCAACGGATATCAAGATCCTTGTTCCCATAGCTTCCGCTCGGGTCCTCCCAAGGTGTTCGTGTTGTCACGCCAATCCAAATTTATATATCCTATCACGTTCCTTCATCTTTCCTACATTTGACTTCTCATCGTGACTTTCCTTCTCGTCACTCAAATTCGGAAGCACCTCGTACTTAAAATTCAGGAGGGTTTTTCTATTTTTATTCCTCCCTCGTATATATACCCGACCTTTTCTTCCCTTTGGTCAAGGGAGATCTCCGTCATATTCCGTTTGCCACTAAGGGCAGATCATCCGTCTGTCTTTTGCTGAAATAGTGCTACATTCAACGTCGAGCGTTTTTCCTTAGATTGGAAAAGATGGCTGGACCTGGCGGTGGACCTCCCCGTAAGAGCCACACGAAGTCAAGAAAGGGCTGCAAGACTTGCAAGAGGAGACATATCAGATGCGATGAGACAATGCCCCAATGGTAAGTTCTCCCGTTTGCATGGAACATGACGAACAGTCGTTGGAAAGAACAAACCAGGAATGAGAGTGCTGACACGGCCAAATAGTCGTAATTGCACAAAGCACAACTGTCGCTGTGATTATATGGATGTGTTCATAGCTCAAGAGCAAGCAGCCAGCACAAGATGTCCGGATTTGCTCATGTCCCCTGAGATCGAGATGGAAATCGACACCTGGCAGCGGACGGGCAATCCCCCGTTCCCAGAGCTACAGCCAAGTTCCAGAACTTACTGGTATCGATTTTCAAAGACGGATTTACGACTCATCCATCATATTTCCGGGCTATCAATTGACCTACACCGTAGGGGATATAGCAGTTGCACTGTCTGGGCTCAGAAGATGCCGATGTAGGTTCTTAACACGTCCTTTGTTTTCGCAATGGCCATCGATTACTCACCATTTGAAATAGATTTCTGGCCATCGCTTTATCTAGTGATTTCGTGATGAGTGCCATTCTGGCCTTGTCCGCGTCTCATCTTGCTTGGATGACCCAAAATCAGGACACCGAGCATCTCGCATATCATCACCGTGGCGTGGCTTTAAAAGGCCTCCATGAAGCGATCGGTAGCTTCTCTCGTGGGAATTCCGATGCCATCCTGGCAGCTTCTCTGTTGCTCTCTTGGCAAGCAACTGAATGGTAACAATTGTCCGCAACTGCTGCAGAGTGTGGAGGCCATCCTTTACTGATAGTTAAACAGGAGAAGTTGGGCCTCGCTACAGCAAGGTGTTTCCACGGTAAGTAGTCTGCGCTTTACGAAAAGTCGGACGCGCTTGTTAATGGATCTATAGGTTCTTAATTCGATGGAGACGTGGTGGAAAGATGAATCAGAATTAGCCAGATTTATGGATAGCCAGAGAGCTTTCCGCAGTGCGCGGTCGCCGTTGACACCCACTTATCCAGGTGGCATGGCCCAGTTTCATAATGATGATATTATGAGATTTGACCGTATTCTCGCATCTCTGCAGAATATCCACCAGCGCGTCTCTCACAATCAAGAGCATTACCGAAGGATTACAGATCTTCTGAGTTTTGCTCATCGGTTGCGGGAGGATCTTCCCGTGCAATCACCAGAGAAGGCATTTGAGAGACTTCAGCCATTGAGAACGTGGCTATTTTGGCTACCTCCAACCATGCTTCGGGGCGGCGATACTGACCTCGGTGCCCTTGCTGTTCTATCTCAATTTTTTGGGCTTGCGTTGGCCCTCGAACCCATATTCCCGGAATTTGGTGGATCATATCTTGGATCCATGTCGGTCACTCCGATTGAGGACATTCGAAAGATACTATACCATCGGAGAGCCACAAACCCGTTTGCTCCCGAAGTTCCTCTCGCTCTGAGCTTAATGGAGCTACCTGGAGAAATAGTTGCTGAATATCGAAGCCGCCTCCAGTGGTCACCCAGAGCCTCGTTGGATGCATACTCTTCTGGCTCACACAGTCCCTATCAGTCGCTACCGACTCCCCATCTGCCGCCTACTCCTACCACTGCCTCGCATTACCCGACATATACCACCTCGCCTCTCCACTCGCCTCTCTCGCCTGCAATTGTGGGCTCGCCGTACCAAATGCCAACAATTATTGATTCGCGTCGTCACTCCCAGGCTTTCACAGCCTCACCCAGTTTGCCTCCAGAATCGATAGACGACCGCACAGCAGAATATAAACACCACCCACACGAACAGCATCCTGCTGTCTTTAATCCGGCGTATTTGGGAAATCTTATCCACCCGGGGACGCCTTTAGGGATCGACTATGGCCATTCAGCCCCATTAGATGTGACAGGAGGGTTGGTCGCTCCGGAGCTTTGTTGGACCTGATGCTTTACATCCACTCTTTCAACCCATAATCCACTGAATCACAGCGCACGAAAATGTAACTTCACATCACCCCTCTCCCTGTCACACTCCACCATCCCCAGGATATACTTTTCCCGTCCGCCACCTCTTTTTTGCCCCCATTGTCCGCCCTCCGATTGATTGACTTGTCTAGCTGAGACGAATCTTTTTGCTTTCCCAGGCACTCAAACACACCCTCATACCGTGGCTCGACTGCGAAGCCAAGGAACCTTCCCATATGAATTGCCTTCCCGACATCGCCGCGCGCCACACCTTGAATTGTTCCCCACTATTACTAGAACTTTACGCTGTTCCATGTTTTCCGCTTGGAAGCTCAGAGAGAGACGACCTTTTTCATTGCCTGTTTTGAATACTACATATATGAGACTTGTTTACGGATAAAACTGATGGAGGGTACCTGCCGGAGTTTTGTCCGCATATATTTAGGGATTTTGGATGGCGACTAGGTTATTCTAAGTCGCCCGAGATATCATTATGATTTTCAAATACTGTTAATATTTATTACTTTATTACTCTTTCTTTTCCTTTCCTTTTCTTTTTATCTAGGGCCATCAATCTATGTACACGATGCCAGGCCATTCCGGCCTCTTTTTGCATTCTACACTGCATACTTCGTATGCCCTTTCAGCGATTTAAGAGATTGTATTTTATGACAATTCTCTTGTGGGATTTGAGTGATGATAGGTATTGTTTTTTACGTCTGGATATTTTCTTTCAGGCTCTCTTTGCCTCCTCTCCTTAGTTTGACATGAACACACAAAGACTGGTGCAAGGCTATTTATATTTAACTTCAATAACTCCGTGGAATGTAGTGGCTGTACAAATGAGTGAGAGATCAATGTGAGAAGCAAAGCATGAATACCTAACTTCAGTACGGAGTAGGTGAGGCCGGCCTTCTCTTTGAGCGGTGTGCACAGCCCCCTCGCCAGTTTGCATTCCAAACAAACAAGCGGTTTCGCAGTATTGAAATGCCGAACCCCGGCTTTGCATGCTGTTTGCACTGTTTGCCTTGTTTGACATCATTGCCTCAAACGGCGAGCTATCCAAAGGCACGCGCCAATGGTTTATCAGTCCATTCGAAGATTTGAGCGTATACTTTCACGCGGTTCATATTTATATTATAACCTACTAAAATACATTTATCTCTTGTCGACAATAAGCATCGTACGGGTTTGTCAAATCCCAATCCTAGCTTTTCTGGGTTTGCGCTTGCGTGCCACCACGGCCGGCTTGAAAGATGGCAGAAGACGCTGGAGGATGGAGCACAATCGAATCTGATGAGGTATGTTTTGTCTTTACTGTTTGATTTGCGATATGGATATCTCTCTCTCAATGGAGAACCCTTCAGTCAAGTGCCTGAAAGGAGATATAATCGCTGAGTCTTTCGTCTGCCGCCCAGGGAGTATTCACCTCATTGATCGAAGATCTCGGTGTGAAAAATGTGCAATTCGAAGAGCTCATTTCTCTTGATGCGAATACTATACGGTCCTTGAGGTAAGTAGAAGCGAAATTGGCCGTTCGTTGAGTTACTGATGACTATTCCACTGTCCGTTCTAATCCTAACCGTTTGCACCTCACGCATCCAGTCCGGTATACGGTGTCATATTCCTCTTTAAGTGGATAAGTGGGCAAACACGCAGCTCCGACTCCCCACAAGACGGCACCTATGACCCCTCCGCCACAGAAAACGGCCTCTTCTTCGCTGCCCAAACCATACAAAACGCCTGCGGAACCCAAGCCATTCTCTCCGTGATCCTAAACCAAGATAACCCCTCGCTTTCCGACCCGACAGCTCCGGGGATAGACATTGGCCCTAGCCTCCGCGACTTCAAGGAGTTCACGACCGGCTTCCCACCGGACCTTCGTGGCGAAGCTCTAAGTAACTCCGCCGAAATTCGCAACGCGCACAACACATTCGCGAGGGCATCGCCATTCGTCGACGAAACCTCGCGACCCCCTGTTCCTGAAGAAGAAAGCGAATTGTACCACTTCATCGCATACACGCCATTCAACGGCGTTCTCTACGAACTAGACGGACTACAGCCGTTCCCCATCAGTCATGGACCATGCGACTCTTCAGATTTTCCCGAGAAAGTGATCGGGGTCCTTCAGCGGCGGATTGCGCGCTATCCGGAGGGTGAGATACGGTTTAATTTGATGGCGGTGGTTAAGGATTTACGCATCCGCGCTGCGGAGATTGGGGATGTGGAGGCGCTGGAGGGGGAAGAGAGGAAGCGACGTGCTTGGGCGTGGGAGAATGCGTTGAGGAGATGGAATTTTGTGGGATTTATTGGCGAGGTATTGAAAGGTGTGGTTGGAAAGAAGGTAGAGCAAGGCGATGGCGAGTATGAGAAGTGGGTCGGTGACGCGACGGAGGCGACTGTTAGAAAATTGAACATGAGAAGAGGAAGAGGTAATGTGAATGGAGAGTAGTGCATTGGTCGATCACTCCGGAGAATTCTGCGAGGATAAATGGGAATGGTGTATCGTGATTTCAACGATTCTTATACGGAGTACGGCCCAACAAAAATGTTAGATAGTCATCTCCCGCTGGACGGATTTCACACCAATTCTATTCGATCTCAAATCCCACTTCATGGCCATACATCAAAGGCACGGAGTACCGGCTAACAGAACACAGCAAAAAGTATATAGTCAAATGCAGAAAAGTGCTGCCAAGCCACCAAGGTGCACCACAACGCCAAACTTCAATGTGTCGTCATCACAAAGCTGAATACCTAAGTCATAATCCATTTCTCATAAACCCACTTTACCGCTTTTCCTCCCTATCCGATGGGACACATCAATTTAAGATGAGGAATTTCGACACGACCCACGAGCCTAACAAGGAGTCCCTGGATCCCAATGTAACTAATGCGCTCGTTCGACAGGCTTTGCTGGCTCGGTCAGCTGGTTGTCGCCCACTCCACAACCTCCAGGGCACTCATCACCAGGACAAGCGTTGAAGGCAATATCCTGAATAGCTACACGTCAGTCTACAAATCGATGCCATACCAAATCACCAAGAAGCCTTTAAGCACTACTCACCAGACAACATAGCTCTGAAACAACAACTTCGACATTGCACCCATATACACATTATTAATCTGACAGATCTGAGCTAGCTGCAACGCCGAGGGCGCTCCCGTGAGCAAGAAGCAGACAATCACAAATATCGGGTCGTCCAATATGCTCACGGGCACGTATTTGGCCGTGAGAGCCAGAATAGGGCCCATGATGAGCACGGGAAGAAACATTCTCGCCATTAGCGATGCGATGATGAGCTTCCGTTCCACGCGCGGGTCTTCGTGGTCATCGTAAGCCTCTTCGGGGAGCGTGTTGCGTTCGAGATTGGCACCAAGGACGACAAGGATGAGTGGGACGGCAACGCCGCCGCTTTGAGTGATAGCGCTTGTGAAAGAGTTGTGGACGAATGTGCCCTTCGTGAAGAGGGTGCGTTGCAGGGAAGGGATGGAGGCGACGATTATTGCGGCTAGCATGGCCCAGAGAGGTGGATTCATGAACTCCCACACGCCGTGGAGGAAGCGGTACATCTTGTGGGCAGTCCAGGTGCACGCCTTTTGTATCCGGAGTGGGATAGCGTTGAAGGCCCGGTTTGCTTGCAATTTCACGAAGTCGTTGAAGCGATGGACAGTTGAGATTACTGCTCGTCGGCAGACTCGGAGCCTCATTTTGGCCGCTGCCAACCAAGACGCATCCTCTCGGGGTTCGACATTGGGGAAAAAAGCAAGACGCCCGGGCGAGTCTCGAGATTGTTCATGAGGAAGAGGCATGGCGAGCGGCAACGGCGCCGTGGTTCCGTCGACGGCGTTCTCATCGCTGTTCGGGAGCTTCGCGCACGAGCGATCCGCTTCCAGAACGGGCGTCTGGTCACCTGATGTGAACTGCGGCTCCTCCGAGCTAGAATCCCCGAGCAGTGTTGGATCGCTGTCTTCTTCGGGAAGATCGAAGTATCTCTCTTGTACGGTCCCAATGCGAGAGTTGGCTCTCTCTTCTTCATCTCGATAATATTGTTCCTTTGGTGCTAAGAGGACGCGATACCCCCAGCTCCATCGGAGAAGCTGGCCCAGTTGCTGGAAGATAAGTAGGTAAAGGATACCACGGGCAGCAACTTCACTATCATTATCATTGGGTATTCTGTCCCAATGGAGTCCTTTTATTGTCTTAGAGAGAGACATGATCAGGGAGATCGGTAGAGAGTTTGAGTTGCCAAACACCTATGGGAGTCCCATCAGAAAAAATAGCCTGCAGACAGAACATCAGAATGACCACTCACCCCCATAGCCGTTACGAAATTCGACTGTCGCTTTCTGAAGCGGAATACTCGTGAGATCAACTTCGAGCTTATCCATGACACTGCAGTCTGGGTTATGAAGATTAAAGGTATTATCGCCAAATCAGCGAGTTTCCCCGCCGTTAGCTGGGACGCGAGCTTTGTGAAAACTAGACCAAAGATGCAAGTCTGTCAGCTTTCTCCTTCTCGTTTTTGCAACCAAGACAGGCGGATTCGCACTGTCAGCGAGAGATCTACGTACTAAGGCATGGTGTGAATAGCATGACATTCAGATTGGCGACGAATTTCTGTGCGTTCGCATCGAACATTCCCATTCGCGCCACGATATAGCCCGGTAAACTCACGCAGACGACTTCCAGGACCGCCTCGAAGACGAGGAGGGCGAGATACGGCAGCGATGGGTGCGATGCGTGAGGCAGTGCTGCTGCTCCATTGTGGAAGACAGGTTGGCTATTTTGAGCCAAGGCCGTGAAAAGAGTTCCATTGATATTTACCAATGAGGCCTGGGGCGACGAGTCGATGTTTGCGTTTCGAAATGACCTCGGCGAGGTGAAAAAAGGCATCGAGCATGCAATATAATATGGATTGTATGGACCGAGTACGTATCGGCAAGAAGAGTGAAGGCTAGAAAGGTCGAAAGACCAAACTCCCAGTATTTTCCTGATCGAGAGGTAAGCCGTTGAATATGTGTCTATGGATATATTTAAACGTGAGGAAACACGTCTCGTTTAGATAACGTTTTCCACTGGGCGGAGAATCAGGATTTTTGGAGGCGGAGCGCCCCGCGGGCTTGATTGGTCTCGACCGTTATCGCGGTGATATTGCGACTGCCAAGAAGTGCAAATCACTAAATGCTGATACAGTAAAATTAATTGTGTGGCATTTTTAGGCCATGGAATTTGATATGGGGAGGTAGGACAAGCATGAAAGCTTCAACTTCTTGAAAGACGAGCTCCGTATCAGCACCTGCTCCCGTGGAAGCGAGAGCATGCTTCCGACAGCAGCCAATAAAACTTCACAATTACAGCGCGAGGTCCCCAAAAAAAGCTGAGGGGATGATATCATTTAGCTATTTACTCCATTTTGACTCCCAAATTGGCCACCGTCGAGCGATATGATAACACATTGTATCGGGTGTAACTAACTTCTAAGCAAGGGACCTGCGAATTTACCTTTGATATGGTGCGATTCCCAGCCCGGCAAAGTGATTTGCCTGCTTTGTACGGAGTATCTCGGTAGACTGTTGCTGGCCAGGGTAAGTTGTTTCACTTTTCTTCTCTCGGTGCGATTGCGTGCCCTGCGAGTACTCGGACGTGTGGTGGTTGGTGACGCCAGCGCGTCGTGTGGCGCAAGAAGAGCTCCGTGAAACCAGCTCAGTGGAACGGCCTTTGGGCCAACCAGAGGGCGTCGCGGGACCCTGTGCCTTTCCGGAGAATTGTAAATCCGAGAGATCCACCGCCACCTGCACGCGAAGTGGGGCGATATGCGAGCCACAGACTAGCCGTATCGAGCTCAGTACTCCACACATCGTGGCTTGGCGCAGAATTCTGATCACGTGATGAGGAACCCGTGACGACCTCCTTTGAAAACGGTAGGAAGGAACCGCTTGTTCGCGTAGACGTTAAAAAGTCATCAGAAGATTTGGATTCCTTTTAAAGCCCCTTTTTGCACTAGACCTGGATTAGGCACTGGAGACTTGCTGTTTCGACTCCGGGGGCAGCGAGGGACGATTCCTCTCCCTTCGCAGCTAGTCGAGCCAACACCCGATTAATTCACCTAATCTTTACTCTTTACGGAGTACAGGGGAGTCAACTAGATTACAGAGTACTAAGGAGTGCGTAGTTAACCAGCTTGGAGGCTTACATTTGTGAACCTTTACTGCCTGACACGTCCTCCAGTGTCTTTGGTGTGATGATGCCTAGCCTCTGCACAGAGTTCTACCAGGTCCTGCAGACGCAAGCCCGTTCTGCATTGGCCCCTGAATGTTGCAATTCTCTATTCCCTTGACATCGCCCTCATCGCATCCTACTTCTCAAGGAACCGCACACTGGCAATTTATTTTGTCACAATAGGGACAGTGATAGGCAAGATTATCTACCCAATTGTTTTTATTCAACTGCTTCCCAGCGGGCTTTCCATGGTTCCCCGCATCCTTGGGTTTCTCACTGTTTAAGTGCTTTGTAGCGTTGGGAATCATGCTCCCGCACACAAAAGAGGCTGCGGCAGCAGTGTGGAAAGATAATCCAAAGATCCTGGCGTTATTCAGCTTCCTGACATTAAAGGAGTTAGCCTTCGTAACATTTGGTCTGGTGTTATTTTTCATGTGGATTGCGTCATGGGTTCTGTTTATCCCCATACCCACCTACGTGTAGCTCAGGTTGGGGACCTCCAGCGAGCTCGCCTTTCATTAGCTCATTATCATCAATTCATCGATCGTGCTTGGGCTTGTTCTGGCTGTACTGATAATTTGAAAATTCAGGGTGCCTGAGGCGCTACTTGTGTTTATCTCTGTGTCTGCTGTTTTGTTATTTGGATGGTTGGGGATAACAAACATGACATTGCTTGTTATTTGGGCTGTATTGCTGGGAACTTTTATCGTCCCACTGGCGGTGCTGGTGCCTGCTGTTATTCCCCAGGTGTGACCGGATAAAAATGTTGTGGGGACGTGGATGGGAATGGCGTGGGTAGCGACCGCGTTGGGGATCCTATTGGGTAACCTGTTGTCTGGCGCACTGAATAATTTGTCAACAGGAACATTCTGGCAGATGCAGGTTCTTCTCGCAGTGTCGACGTTGGTAGACGCAGTCATCATGCTGTATGTTAAGCCACAAATTGCGAGACGGCACTCAATCTGCGACTTTGAGTGAAATGAACACAATTCTGGAGTACAGTTGTTCCTAGGCATATCTTCATATCTATGCTCAAGTCTCCGCATCCATCCTGCTGGTCTCAAGCAACAACACACTATTCAAACAGGCTGGCCATTGCACTGTGAGGAAATGTGACTGTCAAGACTGAGAGATTGGATGCCAAACTCTGGAGTTCCAAGGATTCTCAGAGAACCTGCTTGGCCAGACATCATAGCTCGTTACCCCGTACATATATAGGCTCAGCGCGGAGCTGGTTTGCTTGAAATGGATTTCTGCAGGCGTATGCACAAACAATCTTTGCTATTTTCCGGCCAAATTGAAGTTGAAAGAACGGCCAAGAGAAGAAGAATTTGCATAGTTTCATCAGTTAAAAGTCAGCTGTGGAGACTGCAAAGGGCTGTTTGTTATTCAGGAGCCTTGTCTCCTCAATTAGAGTCAAAAGTCAATCAGGTTGCCTTTGCGCCACCAAACCATGAGTTCGACAGCTCACTGTTCAGCGCAACAATGTCTACCGTCCGTGGGCAGTGCCACTGTGGCCAGATCGAATGGACTGTGAAGGTACGCGATCAGGACACACCACACATTCTCTGGTGGCTTACCAACCCATTTTACATTATGATTTGTCTCAAACCCTCCCCCCCCCAAACTATAGATATACTCACCGATGGATCCAATTCATAGTCATTGTGATGCCTGCAAAGAGATCAACGGCGGCAAATTCACCCTCAACCAAGTGATGCCGGAGGAGAACTCTAATTTCGAAAAGGGAAATTCAGCAAGGACAAATATCAGGGCGATTGTGGTGCGCAACAAGGCTCTCAACGCTCTCAACACCTCATCTCCCATTATAACGCGTAGGTGCTCCTCAAGCCTTCCCAAAGCTAACCCATAAGCTCTAGGAAAAACCCGTGCACTGCTTTTGCCCCACCTGCTCAACCCACATCCACCGCCACCAGTCCATCCTGGGGCCCAAATACTGTACATCATTCGTACCGCCGCGGTGGAAGGCGCTAAGGAATGGCCCGTTCAGGCAGAGATCTACTGCAAGGATACCTCGAAATGGCTTCCAAAAATCCGAGAATATGTTTTCAGCAGCTCCACCGGCATAAAAGCAAAAAGCTGCATGGCATGTGTCTCAACGCCACGAATGAAATGCTTCTGGATATTGTTTTGGCGTGAGCAGGTGTGGGAAAAGGGAGAACAGAATTGGAGTATATGTATGTATTTGAAAAGCCTCCTTAATATAATAATTTGTAATGTAAGACATGTAGGTTTGTCTCTCTGCTTCGCTGCTGCTCATGACTCGAGGACCTGAAGGTAAAGATTTTCTTTGATCTATTTTAATAAGGAAACAGCTTTGTTGGCTCCCAACGTGAGAAAATTAGATGTTCTAGATCATATTCTTCCCCGCCATGCTACCTGCATCGGTCTTGTTACCTACACTATGGCCTCGCTTCGGAATAACATTGGCCGCGCAGCGATGAAAGCGTCGGGCGTCTAGCGAACTCCGGAGTCTGACGGCCGCCTAGGGCACTTGGAAAAGGATAGAAGTGGCGCAGGTCCAGAAAAGCTTCTGGATCATCGGGCCAGGAAGAAAATATATGACCGAAAGCGGGAAGAAGCCAGGATCCAAGGTGAATGGATGCAGTGAATCAACACTGGTAGACAACTATATTGCTTTTGTTTGCGGCCCTGTCGGTGTGGGGGCTTTAGACGTATGGGGCGGGCCTGCTCAAACGTCTTTTGCAATTATAGGGCATTTTCGTTCAGCATCACGGGACCTGGAATAATGGTAGCTAATATACGGAGGAGACTGACTCGATTTCTCCAGATCCATCTGCTGGCTGAATCATGCGTACCAAGCTTAGATTCTCGGCCCGTTGAACCTAATTTCAAATGGCCAGCATTTTCGAAGGTGACCAGATGTCATGACCGGAGCCCATTTGCAGCAGTAATCTTTTAACTATGTACGGAGTATGGAGGATGGAGTAGTTAAATCCTGAAGGTGACTGCTTGGGGAATTTGGATCGTCTGTTGTCTTCTTTTATCCACTGGAGGTCCACATGTGACGGATTTTTTATAAACCCGTTCCGGTAACTGAGGCACCCGTAGGGCTATGTTATGTACTCTGTACTCTGTACTCCGTAGTCTGTAGATACAAACAATCATGACATCAGCAAAGATTTGTGAAGAGTGTTTTTTGTATTGGTCATGGTTATTCGTTCTGGCCTTTGTTTTCTATTTGAATAGATTGTACCAAGTATTTCTCAATGTTTCAGTATGAATTTATCTCGCCACAGTGACAGTCCATGGTTAAAAAGGGTATGTGAGTGCAGCAGTGGGAGATAATTGTCAACAGACAAGAAATAACAGTGACAGGTTACGACTACCTTGGCCGGCTGCCACCTCGGCCTGAGCGACGACGCCACTTCGCTCCCCCCCGCTTCTTCATTGAGAAAAAATAAGAAGCGGGAGGGAAAAGAAAGACAAATCGTGGATAAATAACAGAGAAAGGAAAACGAAATCGCGAAGAGACACGGAACGCCGGCGACTGTGATCAACCATCCTCTGGAAAGAATATGAGCAGTTCGGAAAAAAAAAAAAAAAAAAAAAAAAAGGGGGGGGAGGAGAGTGAAGAGATGGGCGGATTGAAGGTGGAGTCGACTGGGTTTTGATTCCAGTACGGAGTAAGCGAGGGTTGGTTGGCGTGGAGTGCGGGAGGTGTACCGAGTACAGCCTTCTCGCGATCGTCCAAAACCTCCGGGCATTGTGGATCAAGGCGTAATTCATCCA